AGGCTCCCTCCCTGGGACCGCCCTGCTGTCGTCCAGGGGCTCTCCCTGCCCAGCTTTGCTTTCACACAGGCATTGCCCAAAAACCTGAGTGACCTTGCTTTTCTCCGTTTGTCCTTCCCTGAGGCACTAAAAGGTCTTACAGGACTGCCTGTACCTTTTCTTGCACTCTGGAGGTTTTACACAGCAAACTCCTATGTAACTTGGAACATAAGAATTTTGCGGGAGGGGAACACCCACTAGAGAGCAGGGCCCCCAGGGCAGCCTCCCTGGACGAGAAGAACACCTGAATTGTGACAGGGCCACACTGATTAAGGGACCGGGTAGTGATGAGCAGCTCGTGGCTCATCATTTGTTATTGCTTCTTTCCAGATAGATTTTGTACCTTAGCTGCTTCTGTGCAAATTGATCCGCTTTCTAAGAAGGAAAGAAGGAGGAAAACACAGCAAAAGAGAGAGAGAGAGAGGGTATCAAAACAAACACCTGGGTTTCCTCACACAGACCCACATTTACACCAAAATCCAGAAAAGCAAGTCCTTGAGGCAAATCCGGGGACCATTCCTGACCCTTTTGCACATTTGCAGGGCACTTACTTCATGGGTAGCAGAGGGGGCCTGTCCTCTGCACTCTCTGTGGCCAGCACACCTGTGGGCTACTGGTGGAGACCAGCAGCAGCTAGTGCTGGATGCTGGCCCACGCACCGGGCGGCCCGGACCAGAGAAAGTTCTGGAAGGGTTGGGGGAGCATTTGTGTCCTTGCTGTGCAAGGGAGCAATGTCTGCTTTCCCATCCAGCTGCAGTTCGCCTGCTGCTCAGCTCAGAACACCCTTGGAAATGCAATTCAGAACCCCGCTGAAATTCACACCCGGGCTCCCAGAGAGAAAGAAAAACCAAAAGCCATGGATCACATTCCCTCCCGCAGCGTTCCCCTGCCCAAGGTGCATGCATGTCAGCGGGCTCCTGCGGCTCCGCTCCTGGCTCTGGCCTAGAATGGCCCTTCTCTTTATGCAGTGGCCCTTGGATGACTCCAGACACAGTCACGAGGCGCTCATCCCCTCTCCTGCACCTGCAGCAGACCCAGCCCACCCCAACGCCCACGCCCTCTCCTCCTCGCTGACCTGGCCTTTCTGGACCTCTCAGGCCCTGGCTTCTGTGTCCTCCACCCGTCCAGTGCTCACATCTCCTGGGCTTTGGCGTCTCCCTCAACTCCACTCCTGCTCCTCCCAGCTGCCACTGTTGAGCCGAGCGAGGCCCACCTCCCGGCTTCCCTTGGTGCACCCGGCCCGCCCGCATCACCACGCAAATGCAGCAGCCCCACCAAGCCCACCTGTCAGTCACAGACTGATCACAGTCCCAGGGCGGTTTGGCTGGCCTCATTTATTTGTGAAGGCACCAACATGGGCTGTGCACTTACATCCCCCCGCCAACACACACACACGCCAAACACAAGCACTTGATTAAGCACATGCTAAATCTTCCAAACACCCTCAGAGCACTCCATCTTCCGCTTCTCTTTCCCATAACCAGTCCCCCTGATTGATAGCTCTTCCTTCTGCTTAGAGGCATCACTTATTTCTGCCCAGAAAATTGGAGATAAGTCTTGACTTGATAATGGAGACAAAATGCATAATGGTTCAAACACAGTCATGGTTCTTCTTGCTTCTACACAGATGGCAGATCTCCAACACCAACTCAGGAGCCAGGATCCTCCCCTCTTAACTCCAGTGTCCCCCCACAGCAGGGCAAAGACATAAGGAGGGGGCATGCGCCCTGTTTGAAACTGAGGCTCAGAAAGACACCCCCCACTCACGACAGCCAGGACTCAGTCACCACGGCCACCCTGACTGCCAGGAGGATGGGTGATGGGATCTTGCCTTGCAGAAAGGACAGGGGATCTGCAGAGGGTCTCCTCAGGTGCCCAGATCACCATCACTCCTCGTTCCCTGGCCTTCCAAGCACATAGCCCCTGTCAGGGCCAAATGCCTGGAACTTGAAGTTTGCAGTTTGAGCCAGAATGGGGGAAAGTAGCGTCAAGTTGGGAACAGCAGGAAGGCAGGGAGAGGTCTTCTCCGTCACATTTTTAAAGTATGAAATATCACAGGAGACTGGGAGAAGCAGTTAGTCTAACAACCCTCTTCTTCCACCTCAAGACAAGGGCTCAGGGAGGTCTGGCAGAACCAGCCAGATGACTGGCTGTCAAGGCCAGAGGATGACCTGGGCCTGCTAAAACCTTCACAGGGCTCTGCAGACTTGGCCTTCCCAACCTGGCAGGGTTTGGACCCACAGGTCCTGCCACAGGGAGTCACGTTTGGAGACCAGTCAGGGAAAGTCAGCAGTGAGCACTCCAACATGACCATTCGGCAAGCAAGCATCTGCCATGTGGGGTGCTGGCCCTGAGCAGGGATGGGACTCTTCTGCCCATACTCCACTGGCCTTCAGCCCAGTCCAGCCTCTTCGCCAGGCCTGCCCCAGGCTTCTGTTCTAGGAAGAAAAAAAGCAAACTTTTTCATTTACAAATGAAGGGCTATTGAGAGCAACGATCTAAAAGTCAAAGCTATCAAACTAGACAGCAGGCTCCGCAGACCAGGTACATCCTAAAAACAGATCCATGCCATTGACTCTCAAGGCAACTAGCCAGCTGTGAGCAAGACAGGGCCGTAAGTCAAGTTGGTACCACTCAAACCCCAACCCGCAGCCATTCTCTTGTTCAGATAGATGATGTTTCTCACCAGACCTCGATTCTCCTTTAACTAAGAGAAAAACACAGTCTCATTGCAGATGAAAGGCAGAGCTGAGTCAAAGGACCTCAAAGGGAATCCTGGAGGGAGAAGCTGCTTATAAAACTTTCAGAAGCTGTAAAATTATTGGCTAAACAAGTAATTTCATGCATCGGTTTACACACTTTTTTAATAGCAGAATCAGTTCCAAAGCTCCCTCCGCACTCAGACTCTAAGAGAGGCTTCCTGGTGCATCGTTGGCTAATGGTTGTGCCGATGCATTAATCACAGAGGCCATCAGAAAGAAAATTGCCATGTGCCAAGCTGCAGATGCTAGATGTTGAGGCAGAAATCAAATCAAATGTATGAACACCCAGGAGAGAGAACATTTCTCCACACTTTTTTTTCTTGGAATTGAATAAACCATTAATGTACATTGCATGCATACTTACCAACAAAAATCAGAAACTGAATAATAATTAAAGACTTCTGTTCAAAAGTCTTGCCCTAAATGTTAAAGGGAGTAGTTTATTACCAGAGGTAAATGTGGCCTGTCTCATGCAGGCCAGTTCACGCATGTGATTTCCTTTTCCTTGTAACAACTCCATGATTGGGGAAATGCAAATCAAAACTACACTAAGATTTCATCTCACTCCAGCAGAATGGCCATGATCAAGAACACAAATAATAATAAATGCTGGTGAGGATGAGAGGGAAATGGTATGATTGTACATTGTTGGTGGGAATGCAGATGAATACAACCACTCTGGAAAGCAGCATGGATATTTCTCAAAAACACAGGAATGGAACCACCACATGATCCAGCTATCCCACTCCTTGGAATTTACCCAAAAGATCTAAAATCAACATACTCTAGTGATAGAGCCATCTCAATGCTTACAGCAGCCTAAGCCATAATAACCACGTTATGGAACCATCCTGGATGCCTGTCAATAGGTAAATGGATAAAGAAAATGTGGTGTACGCTACACAATAGAGTCTTACTTAGCCATAAAGAAGAAGGAAATGATGGTATTTGCCAGTAAATGGATGGAAATGGAGAACATCAGGCTAAGCTAAATAAGGCAGAATCAGAAAATGAAGGGTCGATATTTTTTTTGGTCAGATGTGGAAACTAGAGCAAAATAAGAGAAAGAAGGAAGGGATAGGATGTCATAAAGATACAGAGAAGACCAAAAGGAAGGAGGAGGAACAGGACAGGGGAGAAAATACAGAGTGAATTTAATGAAACCACGGTATGTGCAATCGTAAATATACCACAGAGAAGTCCACCTTTGTGCATAAGTAGAAAGAACCAACCAAAAATGAATGAATAAATGAGTGAAGAGAGGTAGAGCAGAGGGAGGAGAAGAGGGGAAGGGGGGAAGGGGGGGAAATCAAATTCCATGAGTGTATGATTTTGTCAAAATGAACCCAACAGTAAGCCTCACTCTAGTGTGCTCCTAAGATGAATAAGGAACATTTAAAACACCTGTGAGTTTGGTATCGCCATCAGGTTTTAAGTGCGGAGACTGAGGCTCAGTGCACCTGGGTGGTGCCTTGCTCGGCCGAAGCTGCCTCAGCTGTTCTGGGTGCTCCAACAACAGAGACCTGTTTTCTCACAGTTCTGTGGTGGGGGCTGGAAGGGCAGATCTGGGTGTCCTCGGGGCCGGTTCAGGTGAGGCCTCTCTCCTGGGCTCACAGACGGCACCTCCTCCTGGTGTCCCCCCATGGCCTTGTCTCTGCTCCTGTGCGTCTTGGTGTCTCTTCCTCTTCCTATAAGAACATAAATCCTACTAGATTAGGACCTCACTCTTTTAGCCTGAAATTGTCCATTTCTAAAGACAGTCACACTGGAGGTCAGGGCTTCAACCTATGGGTTTTGAGGGGACATGATTCAGTTCCTAACAGCATGGCTTGAACCCACGTTTGCTAAGAGATAGAGATAAGATCGTCTGCATTAAGAGATGTCTTCTTGCCACAGCATCTCGGACTGAGCATGGGACATTGGCCCTAAGAGCTCGCTCAGTGGAAGCTGCTGGCAGGGAGGTGATCTTGCAGCGTTGAGCTCCGTCCTGGTGGGCTGGGTGGCGAGGTGCTGGTGTGAGCACAGGAGCCCAAGTCAACCAGAACCCAGATAGCGCCAAATAAAAATGGCTTCGTTCTCCTCGTTCATAGCTATACAAACCGTGTTTGGTGTCACCGCCATACACAGAGCATGCAGTTCTGTCACCGGCAGAGAGTCAGCATCTCAATTAGTGTTTCTTTTCTTTTCTCCAAACACCAGCTAATGTCCTGGAGGGGGACTCCATGGATCAGGATGTGGAGAGCCCCGTGGCCATTCACCAGCCAAAGTTGCCTAAGCAGGCCAGGGACGACCTGCCCAGACACATCAGCAGGGACCGGACCAAAAGGAAGATCCAGAGGTACGTGAGGAAAGACGGAAAGTGCAACGTCCATCACGGGAACGTGAGGGAGACCTACCGCTACCTGACGGACATCTTCACCACCCTGGTGGACCTCAAGTGGAGATTCAACCTGCTGATCTTCGTCATGGTTTACACAGTGACATGGCTCTTTTTTGGAATGATCTGGTGGCTGATCGCGTACATCCGAGGAGATATGGACCACATAGAGGACCCCTCGTGGACTCCCTGTGTCACCAACCTCAACGGGTTCGTCTCTGCTTTTTTATTCTCCATAGAGACAGAAACCACCATCGGCTATGGCTACCGGGTCATCACAGATAAGTGCCCGGAGGGAATTATTCTCCTCCTAATCCAATCTGTGTTGGGGTCCATTGTCAACGCATTCATGGTGGGATGCATGTTTGTAAAAATATCTCAGCCCAAGAAGAGGGCAGAGACCCTGGTCTTTTCCACCCACGCGGTGATCTCCATGCGGGACGGGAAACTGTGCCTCATGTTCCGGGTGGGGGACCTGAGGAACTCCCACATCGTGGAGGCCTCCATCAGAGCCAAGCTGATCAAATCCAAACAGACGTCAGAGGGGGAGTTCATTCCCCTGAACCAGACGGACATCAACGTGGGGTACTACACAGGGGATGACCGGCTATTTCTGGTGTCACCGCTGATCATCAGCCACGAAATTAACCAACAGAGCCCTTTCTGGGAGATCTCCAAAGCCCAGCTGCCCAAGGAGGAACTGGAGATTGTGGTCATCCTGGAGGGGATGGTGGAAGCCACAGGTAAGACGGGCCGTGCTGGCCCTCTGAGGGCTAAATGCTCCACTTCAGCTGTGCCCGATGTTCTTACTTGCTACAGCTATAGGATGCTGAACCCAACCCCTGTGGACATCGCTGTATGCTTGGTGACATAGCACGCCTGTGTGCCTTGTAGTCTTAGCACCTTCAAGGAGTCCAGCCATTTAGGTTCTTAAAGTCCTTTAGAAATAAATTAATGAATGCTAAAAACACCACTGAAGATATTTTAAATTTCCAAATGTTTACTTAAATTAAAATTTGATCAGTCTCTAAAGCACTTTTTTAAGAAGCTTTAAAACATTAGTAATTTAAATACTTGTGGTTGTTTATTACCAAGCCAAGAGGAAGAGGTTAGATTAAAAAAAAAAGAAAAAGCTTGATGAACTGCTCTGATAAAAATGCAATTTTACCCCTTCTTGAGGCACCATTTAGAAAACTTGTCACGTTGGTTTTTCTGTTGTATCAAGTGCACCCAGTGTCTCTCCACATTCTTCTACCCCCACAGAAATCACATGCAGACCTGGTTTAAAAATGAGTCAAACTTAGTCAGCCACCCTGGCACATACCTGTAATCCCAGCAGCCCTGGAGGCTGAGGCAGGAGGATCACAAGTTCAAAGCCAGCCTCAGCAATTTAGTGAGGCCCTAAGCAACTTAGTGAGACCCTGTCTCAAAATAAAAAATAAAAAGGGCTGGGAATGAGGCTCAGAGGTTAAGTCCCTCTGGGTTCCATCCCTAGTACCAAAAAAATTTAAATTAAAATGAAAATCTCCAGGAGGAAAGGGAGAAAGTGTGTGAAGGTCCATTCCCTGCAGTCCTATTGACCTCATTTCTGCTGTTCACATGTAATCATGGGTGTGTTTTAGGGGAGGAGAGCTTTTCTGCCAGATCTCAGGAAATGACCTGTTTTTACTGAGGTCTTCACTCAGTTCTCAACTTCGCTCATGCTCCACATCCCAAGAGCAAAGTGGTTCCTGCCCATGTTCGTCTGTAACTTACACAGTGAGCCCTGACCAGCTGACAGTGTCACCTCCGGGGAGGATGCGCACTTGAGCCCTCATTCCCTGCTCCTCACCTGTTCTGAGCGACCGCTGCTCACCTTGGACCCCCTTCACTCTGCAGTCTCCACTTCTGCCGTCTGAAGTCTTGCATTTGAGGCTTCGAGTTGGCTCATATTGTTGCAGGGGCCGGGTCTTCCAGGAAGCTGAAGTGGCACAGTTCTTGTGATCAAGTCAGAAAGGTTTCAGACGTGTCCCTCAGAGTAACAGGCATGAGCTCATTGAAGAGAAAGGGGACACGCTCCAGGGAGAGGGCGGGTCCTCTCAGAGAGGAGAGGGACAGCAATGAGGATCCCAGAGAAGTTTCTGGAGATCTTGCCCTCTTGACTTTTGACTGACAGCAGGATGACATGAGAGTTTAATGTCCCCTCTTCCATGACAACTCTAGGTCCCCTTGGCCCATGCTGACCAGTTCTGATTGGATTCTTGACTATGAATTCTTACAGATTGTGTGGTTAGGAGGGATTTTCCTTATCTCCCTGAGTTCAGGGATCTGGTCTGTTAAGAGGGTCACAGAAGTCTCCCCCTTCAGGGTAACTTGAGTGCCTCTTATCGTCATTATTTCAGGCCTCCGTTTGTTCTTCAGGTAGCAGGTGGTTTGCTGAGGAATGTGACATATCGGTCCACCTAAGCCAGGCAGGGCTGCAGGTAGATTGTTTCTTGGAAAAGAAAACATGTGGGTCAGCACAGTGGGAGTCGGCACAGTGAGGGTCGGCACAGTGGGGGTCCGCACAGTGCGTCCCTTCTATAGAATTAGTCCCTTAACCTCATGTTCCCACCACTCACATCTGTCTGTCCCCATCAATATCATCCAAAAATGCATGCTCAACACCAGGCTAGACTCTCCATCAGCTTATAACAAGGAACCTAACCCCCTGTCCCTTCCAAAGGGAAGTCTGTGACCGCCTGTTCCTGTCTCCCTGTCCCAGCGGGCAAAGTCTCCTTGGTGGTACACAGTTTTATGATTGATAAGTTTTTGAAATGCAGCAAACATTGAAAACCTGAGAAAAGGGCTTTGCATGGAGCTCAATGCCAGAACTCAGGAAATGGCCCGTTTTTACTAAACACTTCACTTTCCTTTCCATAGAACGAAAAGAATCTGGACCTAATCTGAAAACAGCTTTAAAGAGTCACAGCCCACAGCGGGCCCTCCATAGCCACAGACCCAGGTCTCGGGGTTCCACATCTGCAAAGCCAACCGACCATGGGCCTAAAATATTTTTCAAAGCATCTGTCTTGAACATTGACTACCTTTCCCCTGTGGCTATTCCCTAAGCACCACCACGTAACAGTTACTTACCTAGCCTTGACCTGGTGCTAGGAGGGGTCGGCCGTCTAGAGAGGACAGAGGCATGTTGGAAGGTGCCCGTGGGTTCTGTACAGATACCATGCCCTTTTTGCACAGGGGACAGGAGCATCTGTGGATCTGTGATCCTCGGGGCTCCTGGAACCTCTGCCCTGTGGATACTGAGGGACAATTGCACATGCATTCCACACCTGCTGTGTAGCCAGGCACTGACCGTGTACTCGGGACAGAAACATGAGTGAGAGAAGCTGACGTGGAGCACTCTGTGCTGCGATGGACGACTCCCTGTTTCCCACCCCTGAGCCCCACATTTTCAAGATTTCTCTCGTATCGTGAACTGTAGCTCTTGTGAGATATCAAATAAGTGCTGCAGGTGCAACAGGCTCTTTGTGCCTTGGGTCTGACCTTTGGAGGACTCCGGAGCCACCCTTGTACGGGGAGATTGGGGTGGGGGGTGCGAGGAAGGGCAAGGGGAGTGTCACTTTGGCAGGGAGCTCTGTCACTGTCCCACAGACCAGAATCTTCTCCAGCCTCCCTGAGCTCGGGGACTCTGGATCCCCCTAGTGGTGTCCTCTGAGGCTCACCCCAGAGCAGCATGGACTGACCCCTCTCAGCCAAGGGTTTCTGTCTTGTTTTGACTCCTACAAAACAGGAGGGCTCCCTGTGACATACGCAAAGACGCAGGTCAGTCCCCAGCGCTTCTCCTTTCCCCTCCTTCTCCCTCCCGCATCCCCTTCCTCTACTGTTATTAGCCCCCCATTTATTTTTGTTACAATTGAACATAAAAGTGGGACTTGTTGTGATAAATTCATACACACCCGTGGTACAATTGGCCGACTTCATTATCCAGTGAAGTCTCTGTATCAGATTCTCTCTGAGGATTCTCCCGTGGGACAGGAGGGAGGTGAGGCTCCTCGTTGCATCACTGAGCTCGAGAAGCAGCAGCCGCTGGAGACTGATCACTGATGTTAACCTCAGCTTCAAATTACAGAAAGGGCTTTGCACTCCCTCAAACCAAGGCCTGGTCTCAAAAACTAAATGAATTTGGAGTCAGCTGATTTTCTCTGTGATATACCTGAGTGGGAATTCTCCCTGGGGCGGACCCTGTCTTTCCGATGACAGCTTGTAATGAGTGACACAATCCAAAGCAAGAAACCTCTTTTTCTTGGTAATTAGCAGTGATACTTGCCTCTGAGGGCTGGGAGGCCTTTTCCAAGGCTTGCTTAGGGAACCCTGGGTAGTTGCCAGCAAAAGAATCAAGATTCTTGCCCCTGTCCCTGAGAAAAGGCAACCACTATCTATTTCCTTTGGGGGAAAAAAATAGTTTTCTCTATTTTTAGGAAGTGGAGGAGAGGTGTTCTAGAATGTTCTGGAAGTGTCTGGAAGCTGGACGTGTCTTGGTCCTTCCCTCGTGGGATTCATACAATTCAGCACTTCCAGTGCTACCGATCTCTTAGGTTACAGCAGGATGCTTTTTCTTTGTGAATGAAAACCACAGTTGGGATTTATGGGCACTAAACAGGCCCTTAGGGAGGAACAATGTTCAATATATCAAAGCCACAGGAAAAACAATGTGGACCAAATGCACACTCGAGGAAAACAAATTCACAAGGAACTAATTATTCATTGTAGTGCAGGCTGGAAATCCGGAGCCATGAAAACAGCAAGCTGACACCAAACGGCTTCTGCTGTTCTCATGACTTCCTTCAGAATATTCTTAGCTGACCTTAAGTGACGTTCCGTGGTCTGGATGAGGGGACATCTGCCAGGCAGCATCGTGGCCTCAACACACCCTTCCTATCATGCATGCAGTGGGCACACAGTGACCCTGACCTGGAGCTGCCCTACAGTGGTGGACCACTTGGGTTCCTCTGTCTGCTGCCCCTGGAAGGCAGGACACCAGGCTTGCTCATCCTCAATGTCTCGAAGGAGCTGGTAAAAGACAAACTCACACTCCTAAAGGACAGACCCACATGCTCCACAGGTACCTTCGTTCTGCTGCGGCCTGAAGTCAGAGGGGTGCTCTAGACCTGGTCCTGCCGAGGGATGTTGGAGACGACCTCCGGAGACCATTCCTGTCATGTGATTCTATTTTTGAAAATGAATCAAACCCTGGAAAATTCTGACACCAGCCACCCAGACATCCAGGAGCTGGCTGCATCTCATCTGCAACTATATTTTTAAAGGGGGCCCTTTATGTTCCTGACACATGGGCAATTTTGAGATAGTGATGTTTACAGAAGGCTTCACAGCTACGTAAACAAACATGATCCGCAGCTGTGGCAAGTGTGCGTTAAAATAGTAAAGCATTCACATAGCCTGTTATTTATAGAGGGCAAATGGGCCTCAAGGCTAGATGGCAGCCACACAGAGCTGGGACCACTGCCAGCTAGCGCGCCTCGCTGCAGCCTTTCTGATTGATAAACTTCCATATTTACCCCCAACGATTATGCAGCGATGACAGCGAGACCTTCCCTACACCCCGGCAAATGTGCCCCAGTAGATGAATCCTGGCAAGCCTTTGGGGGTTTTATATTTTACATTTTTTATTATGAAAATTACAAAACTTATACCAAAATGGACCAAATAGTACCATTAACCCCTGGGTACCCGTCACTCAGCT